AAATATAGCTCTTTCATCAACTAACCAACTAATACTCATTCTTGTCATCATAAAGGTAAAGCATGGTGGAACTTTAAGGATCACAAATCCTCACTCCACTAGAACCACTTCCTCACCGTGATTTTCACCTCAATGGACTAGCTCAGAAGAAGAGATGTAATGTATCCACCCACCTGATAAAGTAAGGTTCCAGTACTAACAGCCACAAGATTACTGGCCACTGTAAATTCCAAATCGTAGCTGCAGAAAAAGCAACAATAATGAATATAGTAAACCTAAATTCAAACAGCATCCATAAGTTTCACAAGTCTTGCATCTTACCAGCAACATTGTAAATTGTCGTCCATGCAGGGAAACCAACATCGTGCACGCCGAATTTGGTTGTCAGTATGTAAAACATCACCATCAAAATGGATTCCAGTTTCAGCCTTCTCTACCCAATAATCAATACGGACCTTTTTCACATTCTGCATCCAACATAACCTACATAAGTCACAGAAGTGTAAACCTCATTACTTAAATATCCTAAAGGAAATCTGATCAAAGTTATAAGACAGAAAATCTCCCTATAAATTAAAGTATCCAGATAGAAAAAATTTCTTCAATTATATCGCATTTCAAATCTGACTAGGGCCTTTAAATTTTGAGACAATATTTCCTTTTGAGTATCATATGGTGGAGACGTGTCACTTTACAACCTTTGGGCTAATTATGGTCCTTAAATTTTAGAGAAATATACTTAGGTGGCAACCAGTGTTTTAAAAGGCGTTTTCGGGGCGAGGCGCACCAAAAACGACCCGGGGCGATGGTGTGGGGCGAAAGTCTCAAGAGGTGTACGCCCAGCAATTCGGGGCGTACGATGGCGTTTGAGGCGAGTTTTTTTAGTGAGGCGTAAGCCCCAGAGAGTTTTTTAAATTAAAACAAAATTTGTTGAATAAGTCCTTCATATAATACCCAAATTTTCAAAATGCAGCTTGGTAATTACTCAAAAGTTTTAAAAAGGAACTGAAATGTATTAAATTTAAAAGTAATACCTTTTTTATTGATTGAAGCCCCAATTCATGGTCTTTCCCAATTCTTTATCTTATCTGCTAATCTGCTAATATCTCCCAAAAGCAACGAATATTCAATTTATTTTTTACAAATACAAAGAGAACTTCATTCTCCTTCATACAGCAAGTTCAAAGTTCAAATTGAAGGTTAGTCATCCTTTTTGTTCCTCCAGGTAGAAAACTTTATTCTTTTCGACTCAAGTTACTTGAGCTTCTAAGTAGTGTATAATAGATTGTTTTGACTAGTTTTTCGTGGGGATGAAGCACATATATATATATATATATATNCAGGCATATATAAAGCGCCTCGCCTTACGCCCACGCCTTTTAAAACACTGGTGGCAACACATCATTTTTTGCTGGAGGAAAGTTAAATTCATGAGTGAACCAAGATTTTACATTTCAAGCCAACTCATGCGAGAATGATGTGACTTAAGTTTTTTTTATATAAGGACAATGTGACTAAAGTTATGATATTGTGGGTGAGCCGAAAAAATCTGAAATCACATTTCGTGCAGTGAACCCAAAACATAGTCAGCAGCACTTAAAGCCTGTGCAGTGAACCAAAAAAACTAAAATAAATATGCAAAAACCTGATTGTTTTCAGCTGAAGAGTCCTCCCCATTCTCTAAATGCACTTCCTGTTTTTCAATCTCATCCTTCGTGGATTTTCTGCACATTATCAGCAAATTTGGTACCAATTCTCTATCTAGAGATGATAAGTACACTGAACCCGCAGCATCAGCAGCTGAAGTAGTTGATGATACAGAGCACCATCTATCCCCATTCTCCAAGGGTAAATAGTGCGGGAAAACTTCAAATTCTGTAGGCTCCCCATCAACTGTAACACTGTCTATTACCAAATTATCCGCGTGCAAGCCCAAAATTCCATTTTCTGGTGGAACTATATCAAGTTCTGTGTAACTGAAAAGCCAAAAAGTTAACACCCAAGTTAGCATTAATGTCCAGGGTTTACATAACTCAGTCTAATAACAATCCTAATACCAAGGGTCAAGGGGCAGAGCTAGCTTGAAGGAAATGGGTTCAATTGAATCCCATTAGTTGTACTTGAGAAAAAAATATAACCAAAAGAGATTTTTTAAATTTCAAATTTTTAAAGAGGTAAATTTGACTGTCCAAAAAAAACATGGAATCTCTATAATGAATCAGATGAAGAACATAATCTCAACTGTACGGTCTAAACCTTGTAGGTTTTCTAAAATTTATAATTCTTGAAATTTACACGGTGCGAAACAGTTTGAACATCGTAAGTTTCAAGAAGAGTGGATATTCCCAGTTTTCTTGAAATTTTACTGAGTGAGAATGTAATTTATCTCTAAAAAATCTTGATGTTCACAGGTTTCTTGAAATTAGTAGAATAGCAGACGGGAATTTGTAGAGTAAAACCGAGAAAATGGAAAATCTTGGTGGGTAAAAAAGAAAAGAAAAAAACACCCGTAGATTCGCCGTTTGTCCATGTCGATAGAAAGACATAGCTTCTGATGACGAATCACTGCTTCAGAATTATCCCCTTTCTGCTCTTCGTTCTTCCCCTTATTACGAGCCTTTGCCATTTTTGAACACGCATATATGTATTGTATTGCTTTCTTCACTCACAGTAAAGACAAGAGTACAACACGAACACTAGAAGAAGAAAATAATTGGAAAAAGTGTAAGCTTGCAACTCGCAAGTCTCAGCGAAGGTGTAGAGGGAGTCGAGGGGGGTAATTTATAGAGCTGAAATTGGAGAGGAGAGGGTCTCTGTGTTTGGGATCTACTTGGTCGGATCGTGCCCTAGATTGCAATTTTATATCCTGACCGTCCGCGTGTCGGTGACTTTATTATTTAACGGTTAGATTTGATTTATTTCAGAAAATTGAGGAAATCTGTGGTGGCGATATCTGTGGTGGTGCCCGGGAGCATTGACTCAAGTGATTCTACTTTATTTTACACTCAACCCAAATTGAAACTTTAGTTCTAAATTCTTCCAAAAAATATAAAGTAACCAAAAGAATTTATTCCTCCCCTATTTATGTGCTATGAAGTAGTATTAGTTTGATAATGAAATTAATTTAATTATTCTTGTTCTGGTTAATAGTAAAATGATCTTAAAGCGTTAATAGGAAGATTCGGATTTAAGATTAAATGAAATTTTATTTTGAATCAATATAGATTTATTTTTTATTTTATTTTATTGATAATCAAACTCAATAGTCAACTGTACAAAACAAGATGAAGCCTCCTTGACAATCCAACCGGGAAAGTTGTCAAACCAAGAGACTTCACTCAGTAGTGAGAAAGGAAAATTTAGCTAACTTATGGCTACAAGTATTAAAATATCTACTTAGCTATTTAAAAGATACATCAATCAAATATTGATTAAGTGCCCAAATATCTTCACAAACAGTGTTAAACCTCCCATAAAAGACCTATGCTTCCATTAAGAATCTAAACCATTATTAAAGAATCAGACATGATATGTATATTCTTCCAATCATACTTTACCGTCAGTTGAATTACTTTCTATTTTGCCAACGCTTCAGCTATTATGACTTTTCCAACAAAATAAATTGGACTACCATAGGCACGAAGCACATCAACATTAGCCTTTAAGGGTGCAATTCCAATACTTGCTTTGCGAGTCTTTTGATCCAAACCTCCATTGTATTGTAAAAATAATAAGAAATGTATAAAATATGTAGATAATTATAATAGGATGTGACATACGCTATAGATGAAAAAAGGGGAAGTTTTCACTTTGTTCCGTGACTACTAAGACTTTTTACCACCACAAAGACTTCTTTTTCCCTTGTTTTCTTCTTGTGATATGTTATTTGATCACTCTCCTTTTTTTTTCCTCCTTTGTTTTGTTTTTTACATGTGCTTTATTTTCATCTTGCTGGACCTCCTTGTATCCCATGAGTTCTCGATGATTTTTTTTAGTCTTAATTTGATTTCTCTTTTTTTTTGGCCATACAAATCTTTATTGTTCTCGTTCACACATAGATTATTTAATATAGTCATATATTTCTAATACTCTCCGTGATAATCTTTCCATGCAATTAATATTTGACATGGTAAGATGCAACAAACATAAAGAATAGTGTGGTGCTTATGAGGTCATGCCAAAAGGGGTATTAGGTTGCTCATTTGTTTTGAGATGATCGGAATGGTATTTATTATCGGGCCTTATTTCCCTTTAGTATGTAGTTTACGACTTTCTCATAGTTTGGATATTCAACTAAGTCAATCCAAATTCATTAGGGCTCGTACATCAATATATAAGTTGAGGAAACATATGCTCTTTTTGTAGGAACTAGTGTAAATCTATATTGCTATGTCCAATGAGTTACAAATGATAATGCCTCTTGTCACGGCTCACAATTAGTGTCTCGCATCATACAAATAAGTTCGATAATTTAGGAAATATCAAACTATAATAAAATGAGAGGCGATATAAATTATATTTAAAACCTAATTATACATGTGTGAGTCACACATATATACTATGCATTTTTGACTTTAAACTAATTAAATTAAATTTATTGATGTGCTAATAAGCTATTTTATGAAAAAATCTATCGTTTGTAATGAGATAATGCAACAAATATAAAAAAAAATACGTTAAAGAATACACTCCATATGGAACATATACTCAAACGACAACTTAAAACACATTTACATTTATCTCGTATAGCTAAATAAAATTGTATAAAAATCTATTTTACCATTTTACTCTACAAATTATAGGGAATACTACCAAATTTCGTAATTGGATCACATATATACTTCTCAGTTCTCCCTAACGGAGCAAAAGATCCCAATGCAAAGTACAGGGGCAAAATTGTCAATTTAAGGGGATATTAGAGTAGGGTAGTGAAATTTGGAAATTCTTCGGGGGCGAGTGGGGAGAGATACAGCGAAATACTTGGGGCTTGAGCTATTCCTTTATAAATACCATCTCAAACCCCCAATAGAGAACATAACAATCCACCTCCTTTTTCTCCCTGCCGATCTCCTACTATAATATCAGAAATCACTACAGAACAGAACTGTGACAGCAAATCTTGGCGATAATTTAGGGATTCAGAATCGGTTTTTTCACGCCTCATTGTATGAACTTTCGGATTTAATTATTTCAAATGAGCATTGAACCATTTAATCGGTAAAGTTCTTGATGAATTTATCACTCCATATATGTTGAATTCGCCAATTATTCTTCTCTTCTCTGTTTGTTCATTTATTTTCTTGTTGGATAGATTGGTGAAACTTGCGGCTAGAGCTTTTTACGATGACATTACGACTAAAGGCGACAATCAGCCCAAATCCGGCAGAAGTGACAATCGAGGAATTGCGGTGGTTATTTTAGACGCACTCACAAGGTTCTCAACTTTTACTGTTTAATTAAGCTTTTGTAGCTATTTTGACTCTCTGAGGAAGATAAATAAATTATTTTGAAGCTGAAATATGATAATTCTACCTGTCAATACTTTTCCTTTCATCTATAGTCTGTTTTTAGTTTAGAAAAAATTAATGTTCTGGAATTACAAGAATTCCATGCTTAGCATCTTCAAACTCGCCCAGACACCCCCAAACTGTACTGTATGGAGCAGTATATGTGTGTATTAAAAATCATATATTTCAGGCGGCAATGGGTGAGGGAAGAAGACTTGGCAAAGGATTTGAAGTTGCACACAAAGCAACTCCGGCGCACCTTGCGTTTCTTTGAAGAAGAAAAGCTCATCACGCGGGATCATAGGAAAGAGGTTGGTTTTATGCTCTATTGCTACAAAGATGATCTTTTTAATGGACTTGAATTATCCCTTCTTGTTAACTTTACGCTATCTTCTTGCCTTAGTTTCAGACCGAGTGTTCCTGACTTTAGATATCTGAAGCAGCACTGTTTGTTTCCTTAACTTAGCAATTGAATCCCTTTTACATAAATTCTTATTAAGTAAATAGTAAGATATGAGAAATTTGTTGTTTTGAGCATGCTAAGTTGTGTCTCTTTACCCCATTTTGAGTATTGATTTGTGATGTAGTTTATTCAAATAACATCTTATCTAAAGAATATGAAATTGTTACATTGTGTTCCTTTGCCTACCTACCAACACAAATAAACGATAAGGAAGCCAAGTGTGAAGTTCGGTCTTACGAAGCTCATCAATGTTTAATCTAAGCCAAAATGAATCCTAGTTTGTTATTGCCTTACCCATTACTATGTTCTCTTACACGGAATGCTCCTCCTAGTTGATTTTGTAGCAAATTCTATTTGTTCTTCACTGCCTTGGGAAGAAACTAAGACCTTCCAGACAAATGCACTGCGACAGCAAGGAAGAAGAGTTTTTCTATTAACAATACAATAAAGTACCATTTTGACTTTTATGAGCTCATTTTTAACCTTAGGTGTTTACGTATCCTCCTCCTTTTCCAAAAGCCGTGATAGGTGACAAGGGGGCTTTTGATTGCATATGTTGTCTGTGATGACGAAGGGTGATTTGCCCGCATTTTTATCCCCCCTAACCTAGTTGCTAATGTGCAATCAACTCCCTCCTATTCCAAAAGGTGACGGGTGAAAAAGGGGTGATTCAATAGTATGTTCGTCTGTTATTATCACATACTACTAACTTTTTCCAGATTTTGCCTACAATTACTGTGCAAAATAATCTGCCATTCATTCTCCGTCAATCTATTGTTGCAGGGAGCAAAAGGTGCAAAAGTATACAATGCTGCAGTTGCAGCTACTGTTGATGTCCTGCAGAATGGGAAAGAAGGAGATGACAAAATAAAGATGCATACTCATTCTTATTGCTGCCTGGACTATTCTCAGGTTCCCACCCCAAACCCCTGGTTGCTTAGTTAAATTTACCAAATTTGTAATTATTGAAGAATTCTGGTACTTGTAGTCATAGCATTTCCAGACTGACTGATCGACGAACAACCAAAAGATAGTAGTAAAGGTTTTATCTAATTTTAGGTGGTTGAATTCAACTAAGAGAGACTTAAGTAATCTAAAGTAACACCAGTTTTGGTTATTATGGTACTTGCACGAGCATGATTGTTGACCAGGGCTTCTCATGCATCTTGGATATCTTTGATGTTTAACTATATTCCTACTTCCATCAAAGTGAAAGATTTTAGGAGCATTTAAAATTCTGCAGATATTTGATGTCGTGAGGTACAGACTACACCGAATGAAGAAAAAGTTAAGAGATGAGCTGGATAACAAAAACACAGTGCAGGAGTATATATGTCCCAATTGTGGGAAAAGGTTCTGCCTTCAATGCTCTGCTGAGTTTTAGCTTTTTGATAGGTATACCTCTCATGACAAAATTCAGGTTTTTCCTTAAATATGCGAATTCAGATATACTGCGTTGGATGCATTGCGGTTGGTGTCCCCTGAGGATGAGTACTTCCACTGCGAAAGTTGCAACGGGGAACTAGTGGCAGAGAGCGACAAGTTATCCTCTCAAGGGACTGTAGATGGGGATGATAAGGATAGGAGACGGCGTCGCGAAAAATTGGAAGACATGCTTCATAGGATGGAGGTTTGTCTTTTTTCTATGTTGTGTTTAGATGTTATGTTGATATATAAAGTGCTGTCCACAATTTATTTTGTTTTTAATTCTAGGCAAACATTTGGTTATGTAATATTGGTCGATCTTGGGTGGGAGGTATTTTGTGATGGGAGGTATTTTGTGAATGTGTTAAATGAAGCAAGAGCAAGAGCAAGAGTGCAGCTACAGTGAACTCCATAAGGGTTTATTGCTCCAGGTCTTTAGGTAGATATACACACACATACATGAGAAGAAGTCAATCAACTGTTTTAGCATGTGCTAATCTATACATCTTTGCCATCCACCAAAATCTACACCTGTTAGGTACAACTATTACTTACTATATCAGTAGATGTACTGTCTATGATTCTGAACTTCTTTTGAATAAAGCGTTGTGTTTGCTGTTTTCCACGTCAAAAATTGATTTTGCTGTACAGATATGATATACTCCCGGTGTTCCATTTTATACGACACTCTTTTCCTTTTTAATCCCTTGTTAAAAGAAAGACATCATTCTATATTTGGAAACTCGTAACTTTAAACTTCCATTTTTTTTAAAAACTTTAAACTTCCATTTTAGCCTTAATGACAAGCTCTTATAGGCATGGAAATGTAATAGCATGTCAAAACTACCAGTTCTGAGGGTACTTTTAGTATGTGCCAAAAGTTCTTCCTTTCATGAAGTCTTGGTGTACTTATAAGGTTCCTATCTGTATAGAAGATTGGGTGCAATTTGTAGAGAACCATATTCTTGTGTAGGGATTTGTATATACCAGCTCTGGTGTTGTACAGTTGAATAATAAAAAGGTTCGTTGGATGTGACATCCCATCGGGCATTTTGGTTTCAATGGAAAATAAAGGGTTCATTAACTATGGGTATTTGACTAGCACATCTTATTCCCGCAATCATCATTATTGGTTTTATGGAAACAACCTCTCTACCTTCACCGGGTAGGGTAAGGTATGCGTACACACTGTCACTACCCTCCAAAGACCCCACATGTGGGAATATATTGGGTATGTTGTTGTTGTTATCATTATTGATTTTGCTTGTAAGTCAGACAGAAAGAATTGTATATGGGAGAGATGACAGTGTCTTGAAAATGGAATGCCAATAAGGAAAAACTTTGTAAAGAGGAAAAGTGATGACTTCAGAGTATTTCTTAAAAGCTTGATGAAAGATCTGCTGGAACCCAATAGGCAACAAGAGAATAAAAAGATTTCCAGCTAGTGTCTGTTTAATTAAATTGATGCAGTCACAGGTATTTGCGCTGCCGCGATAGCGCGCTTTGAGACTACAGCTAGCTATCTAGCCCCCGATAGCAAAGAGAACTAGAGAGCCAACAATAACTTAATTTGGCATTTTTCTTCAATGGATTAGTTCCTTTTCAATAAGCAGTGATTTCTTAAATGGATTAGTGGACTGCTGCATAAATTTTTGGGATGGTTATGTAAGGATGCTCATAAGACACTTGTACAAAATATTCTGGTTTCATTTTGGTTGAGATGGACTAGCCTCTCTCTCTCTCTCTCTGCCAAACTGAATGCTTCTCTATATATTTTGGTTTCAATATAACATGATATTTCTGGTAGCTTTAAATTATAACTTGTGGCCAAATTTTTTAAGGAGATATTGGATCTTGTTATCCAGTTTGATATATTTGGCTTCGTACATCTTTGTATCTCATAAAATAAGATTCTCAACTACAAACCAGTCAACTACTCAATCCCCAAACTAATTGGGACAATCCTAACTGCATCCATTTTAATGTTACTGCCCTTGGTTAGTTTATTTTGCTAATAATGAGCTAGAGCCCCTCGTCGTCTTGATTTCTATAGCCATTGATGAACTCTTAAGAGCTGCTTCATCCATTCTTTTTTCTCTTATTGTGATCCCTGGATATCTAAGATAGTTGATTTGTTTTTACTATCTCTTTCCTGTGCATCTGGTTCAGTTTACTGAGAAATAAAATATTTTTTCTTGACCAAGTACTGATAACTAAAAGAATTGTAGGCACAACTCAAACCGTTGATGGATCAACTTAACAGAGTAAAAGATTTACCTGCTCCCGAGTTTGGAAGCCTTCAAGCGTGGGAAGTGCGAGCCAATGCTGTGGCCCGAGGTGCAAATGGAGATAATGCAAATGACCCTTCAAAGTCAGGACAAGGATTTGGTGGAACACCTATGCCTTTTGTTGGAGAGACGAAGGTTCTTTTACCCAACTGGAAAAGGAAAAAAGAAATACTGTTGTTACAGGGTTTTACTTGGAAGCTCATCATTATGTGTTTCTAGTTGCTTCTGCTGCTTCTTGGAAATGCACTGCAGTGAAGTTGGTGTATATTCTTGCTCATGCATCATAGTTATGACTCCTGCACCCCTACATGAATTTTTCCAAAAATTGACCCAAATATGAATTGGATTTTCGTGCACTAGTCCACACAGTGATGTTACACTACTAAGCTTTTGCTCCGTGTTACTCGTCTTATAAAATCTTGAGGACAGCCTTTTTAACCCTCCTATTTAGTCTAACATTGGAAGTTTTCTCCATTTTGCGCGTAGCAACGTTTTGGTTATTTACTATACTGTGTACAAACTTCTGTTTCCTTTCTCACTAATCACTTGACTCTATTTTTATACTTCAGCAACTATTCTGAATGCTTTCCATAAAATATCTTTGTCTTTCCTTGTGAACTTGATGGAGAAAATAGTGCCTGAGTTACGTAGGATGTAGGGGTTGTAGATTGGTTGAGTGAAATAGGGTTGTTGTCTATGAATTTATACCAGCTTTTGCTGTTGACTGCTGGTTAGTGAAATAGGCCCTTAAACGATGATATCTAAAAATTTATACCACTTTTTTCTGTTGATTGCAGGTTGAAGTTGCTTTCTCTGGTCTTGAAGAAAAAGGAGATATCAAATCTGAGATTTCAGCTACACCAATGAAAGTTTTGCCTCCATGGATGATAAAGGAGGGAATGAATCTTACAAAGGAGCAGCGTGGAGAGGTCAAGCAAGAGTCCAATATGGAGGGTAGTTCTGCTGCAGCGGGGTCATCTGATGACAAGAAGTCCATAGAAACTGAGGACGTGAAAAATATAAAGGTTAAGCTCATTGCCTTTTGTATGGTTCCTAACCTCTTCCTGCCCTTCCTCCTTTTCTGCCCCTTCCTTTCTTGCTTGAATTCCTCTATGCTCTTTAATGATGCTTTAATGCCTCACCTTTTTTTTTGTCTTACTTTTGGTAGGATGAATATGTTAAGGCATATTACGAGGCTCTATTCAAGCGACAAAGAGAGCAAGAAGAAGCTGCCAAAAGTTTACAGGAAACATCAACTACAGATGGAGTGGATAACACCTCTACTGAGCGCCAAGTCGGCATGAAAGCCAAACGTGAAGAGGAGGATGAAGGAGAGGATATTGAATGGGAGGAGGCCCCACCTGCAGGTAAATTTTATAGTGTTCATATACTTCAGTCTCTTTTCAAAGACGTTGAAAATGGAGGAGCAGGTGATTGAAGTTTGTTATATAAAGTTATTAGCATGCTACATCATGAATTCACTCCTTACCTTATATGTTGATTGTGCAAATCCATTTTTTTAGTCTTAAATGGAGAGACCAAATGAATAAAAATGATATACTTTGTAGCAATGATTAGTCTAGCTTTCTCAAGTGCTTTTATACGATATGACGTGTGTAGCGCATGTGAGTGACACGTGTTATGCCCTTCCCAGAAAGTAGTCGTAGACTGTCCAGAGTGCCAGTAGATACACTTTGGACGAGAATATGGGAATAATAAGTTCCCTGCGAAGTTTAGTTATGTAGGTGGAACTTCAAGACAAATTACAGGGATATTCTTGTACTATCCCTTTTCTTAACTTCCCCATGGTCCGTATCAAACCTAGCTAGTAAAACAGTCTGCCTTAAGATATAGTTTCCGACTCCCCCGTAATTGACCCCTAAGCTCGGGTGTACCGGGGATGCGGCTCGGATATAGTAGGTCTGGAATAAATTGAGAGCTTCCTGCCATCCCACAACAAATAAAAGCATAAATGTGATGTTGCAACTAGACAATATTTGACCAACTTCTGCATCCTTGCTTGGTCCCTATCAAACTTAGCTAGTGAAACAGTCTGCCTTAAGATATCTCTGACAATAAATAAAAGCATACGTTGCAACTGGACAAAATTCGACCAACTTCTGTGTCCTTGCTTGGGTCAGTTCTTCCTGGGTCAAATTATTGACAACTTATCCTTGGGATACCGTTCTTAGTCACACATTTTTTTTATTTTTTTTATTTTTGCTTTTTTGATGGATCTAGCCCCTTGGGAGGTTAAAGAAAACTTCTCCAATTGGTCTCTTTTTTCTCATCGTTTTCTCGGGCCAATTTTGTGCAGCTACTAGTGGGTGTTCTTTCGGCTCAAGTTAATACAAAATATCTACTGCGTCATTACGTGTAAATTTATTTCTTTTATTTTTTTAATTCTAAACTGGGTTAGTTAATTCAGATTCAAATGTAGTATTTGTCTTATTCTCTATCACAGCTGTAGGTCGTTCTATGTTGACGTTTTCTCTTCTTTATGCCAACTTTGTAATATTGATTTTCATATGTCTAATCTCATTTTTCAGTAGGATTTCCCTCTGCGGATTGTATTTATTTGTCCGGATGACTACAGATAAGCCTTTGGTGAAAGATTTAAAGAAGAAGAGCAGTAAATAAGTTATTGTAGAGACTAGGAGTTGATCTGCAATTGCTTGCAGTGTTACAATAATAGCATAAATTTGGATAGTTTTTTTTCACAACCTAATAATAAGAAGATTGACTCGTGATGATATTCCTTCCTGGCCCTAGTTTTAGTGCATTCTTTTTGTGCTCTTACATATCGGTGGCTCCTTCAACTTACACGCAAAATCAACATGCTGTTACGAATAAGAATTACTGTTCATTCATTTCTAAATTCAAAGAGCAGGTTTACTATGTATAATGTAATACACGACAACCTTGTATGAGAATTATCTAACTTCTTATAGCTGGGATGACGTGCTATTTTGTTCTGTTTGCTTGAATAGAGTTTTAAATCTGATGATTGTTGCTAAATTTTATCTTTCTTCCAATTCTTTAGATTCTGATTCTTCTTTTCTCTCTCTCTCTCTCTCTCTCACACACACACACACAGAGAGAGAGAGAGAGAGAGAGAATTTCCTGCCTCTTTTGTTTTGGCTGCTAAATTGATATGTCGTGTTTTATTTATTTATTTTGAACTTTCATCTTCACATTGGGTATGTTTCAGGTAATAATACAACTGGAAATTTCAAGGTTAGCGACTTGAATGTCCAAGCAGATGCTTCAGGAGATGACAATGATGAGGAAGATGACATAGACTGGGAGGAAGGTTGATGATCAAAGTAATCCTGATGCCATGGATTACTTCAGGAGTCTAGAAATGATGTTACCCATGCAATGGCTGGAGAAGAAAAGGGGAAAAGGGGAAAAGCGGACGGTACAACTGTGAGAGAATGATTAAGCTATGTGAGTGCGACAGAACTAGAGAAAAGTATTTAAGGCAAAATGGTCGAAGCCGGCATATGGGTGTTGTCAATGGATGCTCTATCTGGTTTCATCTTTCTCGAGTTATTATTCTTTATGAAAGCAATTTTAGGTGTCGTTTTGTTGTTTACATAAGCTTGCTGGAAGTGGGGTGTGGTTTTTTTTGTCGAAATGGATATGGCAATTGCTTTGGATGACGGAAATAAAAGGATTATTGAGTGATCAATGTAATACTAACTTTAGGGTAAACAATCTTCTCGTGACACTCTATTTTATATCTTCCTTGTTTCCATTTTCCTAAGCAATGATTTTAGGGGTACCGGATTTGTTCGCTGTATCATACATCAAAGTTAACTATTAGGAGCCAGAGAAAAAACAGTAAGCAAACATTACCCGCACATATCTGTTGTGAAGTTTTTCATTTTCTCGAGTTGGGGTTGGACAGCCTAGCTTACAATAGCAGAGACACATTGCTTCCAGTGAGGTCATACACACAATAGACTGACATTGCTGATAATGTAAAGTTTGGATTAAAGCTTTCTTTTAGCACTTCCCATTGGTCAAGACTTGTGAACTAGTTAGTTGTGACAATAGATTGACACTGCGTAGACCCTTTGTACATGAGTTCGTGCGTCTTAAGCTGTGAACAAATCATGAAATGGATCCATAATATCCAAAAAGATGGAACCTAACAAGTTTTGCTTCTAAAGTTTTGTTATGATTGAGATTCAAGATAAAAAGCATTTCTGGACGGATAACAGCATAAGTTTCTCTGATTCGATTAAAAAAATGGTGTTACTCTATTTATTTTACTTCCAAAAAGAGAATAATACATAATGCTTAATAACATGATCATGATCCAGCAAGAAGCTAGCTGTATGAGCTAGAGAGAAAAAGCCAGCTGGATAAACAAGATAGGCCTTGCTTGTGATGAGAAGAAAGAACGGTAAAGGGCCAAGTATACTCCTGTACTATGAGAAATAGTTTAAAATTATCCTCCGTTTGAATATTGGTCTATAGCTACCCTCAATGTTATACAATTGAATTCCATGTATTACTCACGAGACATTAAAGAACCGTCAAAAATAAAGAATAATGTTATATCTGCTGTCTATGAAAGCTTAAAATATTCTAAACTGTCTCACATAACTATTGCTATTGCTAGTATTATCCAAGAACAGACGATAAGAGAAAAGGATCCCAGGCTGCACTTTCACCAGCACTCCATAGTCCATTTTCAAATATCATCTGTTGTTCAGTTGGAACTGAAGCTGCCTGTGTTAATCCATTATTCATATGGGGCATCATTACTGGCGCATTTGAAAAATCTACTTCCCCAAATGTAGACAAATCAACCGTTGGTTCACTTGTCCCTAATACTGAAACTGACATTGGCCATGTACAAGTAGTACTATTACCACCACCAAAAATGCCGATGTTAATGTTATTATTTGTAGTTGTACTAAATAAAACCTCGTCGTGACCGCGACTCATTTGTGGTTCTCCCCAAGGAAATCTTCCTTGCTCATTAGCCCACATTGTTGCTGAATTTGTTCCACTATTGTACTGGTTATTTTGCCATAATTGTGATGAGATCACGGGCTGATGATCGCTACTCATGAGGCTAATGTAATCAAGATTCTGATTTCCCCGGAATAAAGTATCAGAGTAATTCTTACCTTGTCCAACATTATTTACATGTATAATATCTCGTTTAGGTAATTTCTCAGCTTCCACGTTATTGCTCATTAATCCTCTGGCTAACGTGACAGTTTGTCCTGTTTGTGACAATGTTGTCTTGTTTTCAAGTGAGGAAACTGATGGTTTAATTGCTGCTTTGGAAGTGGAATTAGAAGCATATGCTTGAATGAAAGATCTTGAACTCTTACTGTTAAATAATTTAGCCTTAAGTGCACCAACAAGTCCATTCTCAGGTTCTTCTGTTCTACAAGCTTCTTCAAAATTAAAAGGCTCAGCATTTTCAAAATTTGTACCTTGGTGAGAATCAGATTCGGGTAGTTCAAAATTTGTGCGGGCATTAGCCCCTCTTAATGTCCGAGCGGCTTGATCATAAGCCCGTGCAGCATCCTCAGCAGTGTCAAATGTTCCAAGCCAAAGTCTTACTTTTTGCAAAGAATCTTTGATCTCAGCAACCCATCTACCCGATGGCCTTTGGCGAACGCCAACGAATCTTGGATGTCCTCTTGATGATGGTTTTCTTCTGGTTCTGATGTTTTCACTAGATAGTTTCATCTTAATTTGTTTCCTAAGCTGTGGAAATTTCTTAATTTTTTTGGTTGAAAAAATTGGAATCAATATTTCTTAGTAGGTGGCTGTCTCTAAGCTTGGTGTCTTGAACCGTTAAAGGTATAAAATGGGAAGGTATCTACAACTTGTAACAAATGGACGAGAAGGAAATGACAAAGGAAAACTATATTCCTATGTATATATTTACAGAATGAGACTTTATTAGTGCAGGCGATGTTGGTTTTATCGACTAGAAATTGTAGATTATGAAGAAATCATGGCATGATATGAAACGATTGTATATAGTTGTACTAAGCGCTAATGCAGAAGCCTCCAATTGTCGACGTTGTTTTCACAATGATCTGATCAATATAATTGTGATAGGTAAAGGAAAACGCCTCAAAGTTTCAGTTTTTCTGGTGGACTCAACAACGACCAGATCAAGTCTAACTTGACTATTCCTAAGAGCTAAAGCAATCTGAATTAGTAGTTTTTGCCTGCTGGAGAAACAAGGAACATGACATGAGAATATGTGTTGGAGATTTTAGCCTAGATTGTGTGTCTGTCTATATGTTCCAATCCAAAACCTTAAATAGTTAAAAGACCAAAAAATTGTGCGTTTTAAGGAAAGTTATATCCCTGGAAGTTATGTAGTAAATTTTATTTGACAAGAAAAAGAATATGCATGTATAATACAAAGTGAACATCGATTTAGAATAGGAACAAAAGTTCTAGAAACCCCACAATTTCAAATTGTGACAATAGACGGACATGCATTTCTTACTCAAAATCTTGATTAACACTAGAATGGTCTGAATTTCGCCTATTAATTACTTTAAAATGACTAGTCCTCCTGTTTCCCTGTACACTATAATAGAAATTAGAGTATGTAAATCCAACTATATGCAGAATTGGTGTTTTTGAAAAACATAGTACTAGGGGTTGATGAAACAAAAGGTGAAGCCGACAAGAGTTATTGCAATATGGTTAAAAGCTTTCAAAATTCAAAGTCCATTGCCACTTCCGAAAGAAAAGGGGGAGCCTCAATAGAATAGAAAGATTAGCCGCTGAGGTCTCTTGTCTTTTAATTTACCTGCTCCTGTCCTGGCCTTCTCTGAATATGCGGACTGTTTTGCAGGAAAGAAAAAAACAAAAATGCGCCTTTTAACTCTTAAACCTAAGACTAGGAGAAAGGGTTTGTATCCTATTTCGAGATAAAAGTAGTTGAATTGGCATTAATTGGTAACACATGAATATTGTATCCTCTTTACTCTTTAACAAATGCGAGTAAGTTGGTAATGATAATACAAGAACTGAAGTTATCATCGTGGATTATGCAAAACGTATAAGAAGATATTCGTCACCTAAGGAACAATCTAGATGTGTTTGTTGTTCTTTTATTGAAAAGAACAAAAATAGGTGTAGTCACCTTCTAGTTAGTTTTGCAAAAATCAGTTTTCGACATGGTTTCTACATGAAACTCGTGACTCTTTTTGTTTGCTAATACATGAATAAGAGACTTTTTGTTTTAATTTGCTGAAAAAATATGAATTGATAATCTGAAAACATGATTAAGTTACTCGGATGAACATACAACTTAAATCTATATTTTAAGTAGTATATTAATTGTTTGACCAAACAAAAGGAAACCTTTTGGCATGGGTGACAAGTCCTCTAATACCAATAGGACTCGTGCCGTCGTGCGGGCCTGCTGATTGTTCAAAATCCAATATTCTATTTTCCCACTGTTTTCACCCAATTCTCATTTTATTTCTATAAGATTTATGATATCCATAATTAAAAGAGAAAAAGAAAAAGAAATTTCTGGAATCCAAAGTGCTTTAACAGAACTCGACTACAGTCTACAGCACGCGCATCAAAGTCCAAAAATGAAATTTAACTTCCTTTCAATGTACTACTCCAAATACCTAACCTTTGACTATTAGTAATTTGGGGGAGATAAATTGGGATCTTGCACAAAGAAATTGCAATAATTAATAAACTATTTAGGTAACAAACTAATCAAAAAAGAGCTTTCTTCCCTTTTTTATTGAGGACTTGGATAACACTTTCTTTAACAATTAGATATGGAAATGTTAGGGTCATTGACTTGGACCTCCCTCTTTAAGTTAGCAGTATCCAATGGACCTCCCTTCAGAATTTGAAGAATTATCAAAGAATTAATGTCCTCTCTTTAATGGTAAAGTTGATGTTGTTAATTCTTAGCATATATTGACCAAAATATCCTTCTTTCTAAAATGATTTTTGTTGACTCTGTAAAAGGAAAGCGCACATGAAAATTTAAAAAAATAAATGAATTTCATTAAATTAACATGAGAATGCTTTTAACGAACTTTTATAATTTCTACTCTTCTTGTTAATGACTAAGAACAAAAAAAGAATAGGTAATATCGATTCGGCCATAGGAATGACTAAATCATGCCGCTCTATTAGTTTTTTGTTTCTTCCTTAAATAAATAAATAAAAGCAAAGAATAAAGAGCGAGAAAGAAAAGAACGTTCAATAATATAAATAACGCCGTCTCAGTCTCAAATAAGTTCGCGTCAGCTACATGAATCCCCACTCAAGATGAATTGACAAATTTTACGTTGATTGTTAATCTACTACAACCTTCTTCCTTTATCTGGGTTTGGGACCGGTAATGTAAGCAAGCTCACACACGGAATTGAATTGTTAATTCTGGCTTAAATAAGTTGTGCTTCAAAAATTTATGCTACCTTTCGATACGAATTCGATGGTTTTTTCTTTTCTGCTACATATTGATCTTTCACAAGAAGAAAAACATGGAAATAGCACATATATGATCGGATTTGCAACCAGCAAATCAAAAGACATGATGTATAATGGGCGTCTTGGTGACTATTCTTGATATGGTAACTTCCAGCCATGCTGCTATCAAAAGGTAAATTTTTATTTACTTAAATTTGTAACATCATTTTTCATCGCAAGAAATAATATTGACGACATACATATTTTTCCTTTTGCAGTATTAGATTACCTAAAAGATAGTACTAAATATAAATAATTATTCCATAATAAGTGGAGTTAGTAATCTGAA